CGGGGGCTGGCGGTGGACCAGCGAAGTGGCCGCGGCGGCGGTGAGTGCGCGCCGTCTCTACTCTCACACTTAACCTAACTATGTACAAAATTAGTACCCGTTTAAATGAATGTATATCGAAACTATTTACAGGGGAGGGGTCGCCGGGGCGCGCGGGGGCGGCGCCGGCGGCTGCGTCACGGCTCCGGCAGCCGCGCCAGCGTCTTGTAGAGCGGCGAGTTGACGAACCGCGGGTACGAGTCGCGGTGCATCAGCGTGTAGATCTGCAGCTGCGCCTCGTCGAACGTGTGCGGCGTGGGCTCCACCATGTTGCGGTTCACGATCTCTCGGACCCGCGAGTCGAGAGAAACCTGGAACCCACAACAACTCTCACGACCCGCAGTCTACGGTTCACAAATTACTTGAGCCTCGTACGTAGCCCACAGCGTAGCGCGTAGCGTACGTAGACCACGTAGACTTTTAAAGAATGATAGGCAAGTCTCACCTCCTTAGGGGACAGTATAGAGATGTAGTCCTCGTAGATAAAGCGCGCCTTCTCCTCGACGGCGTCGGGGTCGGTCTCTCGCTTGAGCTCTTCGCACGCGAGCCAGAACATTATGTTCTCCTCCGAGTACTCGCCGCGCAGGAAGTCACGAAACACCTTCCTGCCGGCTGCGACCGCATCACACATTTACTTCACATCATGCTTCTTTTATTATTGCTTAGATGGGTGGACGAGCACACAGCCCACCTGGTGTTAAGTGGTTACTGGAGCCCATAGACATCTACAACGTAAATACGCTACCCACCTTGAGATATGAGTTCTAAAGTCTCAGTATAGTCTGAGTTATAACGGCTGCCCTACCCTTCAAGCCCAAACGCGAGACAGAAACCCAGTGTAGTCAGTCGGTCAGTCAGTTCGACTACCAACGATACAGGATCTCCTCCTGGGAGCCACCTCCGGCAACTTATATTAATTAGTTGATTGATTTCTATGCGCAGGGGTGCTACGAGTGCTCTCGTCTAGTAAACGTAACGACAAAAGTGAATAAAATAATGATGTATTGTTTTAGTTGTGCTTTCAAGTGACAAGCTATATTATTTGGGTGCGTTCTGATACCACGCGTCAGAATTATCACGATTCCTGTAGAACCTAAGAATTTGGAATAACCGTATGTAGATTTGATGGAGCCTTCGACTTTCATGAGACTACTTAACAATTTACATTCGCATGCTTACTCGTGGCCGAAGTACTAGTACATACATCTTTTCTACACATACTAATACACTAATCACCTCTAATTACTACTCAACGCGATGGCGGGTCCGTTGGGTGAGATTTCTTAAAGAACGAAACATTGACTTTATACCTATTTAGGTATTTTTTCTATAAGTGTACATTTTTTTTAATTTTTTTTGTACATGAGCTAAATAAGGTAAATGATGACTTCTTATAAACGCTGCGTATCCGCTCCAGGCATGCTTCGTGCTAAGTTTGTTACCGGTGATGGTATGAAGGACTATAAGGTTGATAGCTACGCTGATAACAAGCATCGCACCGTCTGGTGCACCTCGGTCTACCACAGGTTCATGAGGTCTGTCCCTTCACAGTCTCACACGAGGCTAAGAGACACCGCAACGACGTTACGCTAACAGGTCGGATCAAAAGGCGGCAGTTCTCAACAAATGAACCACGACATTTGTCTGTTCAACACTGCATATGTATGTGTAGAATTCAATTTTTACTGGTGGTTACAAATTTATACTGGTGGTAGGACCTCTTGTGAGTCCACACGGGTAGGTACCACCACCCTGCCTGTTTCTGCCGTGAAGCAGTAATGCGTTTCGGTTTGAAGGGTGGGGCAGCCGTTGTAACCATACTTGAGACCTTAGAACTTATATCTCAAGGTCATTTACGTTGTAGATGTCAATGGGCTTCAGTAACCACTTAACACCAGGTGGGCTGTGAGATCGTCGACCCACCTAAGAAAAAAAAAAAAAAAACATTTTGGCTACATTGTTCAAGTTTTAACAAGATGATAAAACGAACCGGTGCTCCGCATCAGCCGGTCGAACGACTGCCCCCAGCCTTGGATCTCCTCCAGCGATGGCCTGCAACCAACGATATTTACCTCAGTACACGTCGCCAAACGAACAAAACTTATAATCTTAACACATTTCTAATCTTTGATTCCTTTACTATAGCACCCACTACCGAAGGCATACATAATGTGTCCGATCTTTGAGACTGCTAAGACTGCTGCTGAAACTGCTAACACCCACTAGCTGCCGACTGACCCCGCAACGTGCAAGCAGCGAACTAGGAGCCAATCCCCCCCACTGGTGACAGGATAGCTTTTGATTTCGACATGGTTGCGCAGAGTCCAGGGACTGGCAAGTCCCTATGGCTGGCTGTTCTAGCTGTCCGTTCTCAATTTAATTCTCAATTAATTACTGGTGGTAGGACCTCTTGTAAGTCCGCGCGGGTAGGTACCACCACCCTGCCTATTTCTGCCGTGAAGCAGTAATACGTTTCGGTTTGAAGGGTGGGGCAGCCGTTGTAACTATACTGAGACCTTAGAACTGATATCTCAAAGTGGGTGGCGCATTTACGTCGTAAATGTCTATGAACTCCAGTAACCACTTAACACCAGGTGGGCTGTGAACTCGTCCATCTAAGCTTAAAAAAACAATTCCAATCGTGAGGCGCGTATGCATCACAACACTAGCCGACCTCCATCTTACCAGCTGAGGTACAAGAAAATAAATCTCATCAATGTTTGTGGTCCTAGATGGGCAGTAACAGCGTAATATTGACGACGTGGATTGGCTCCAATTATAGCTTACAATCGGGTGAGCCATAAACTCGCCTGCCTATGCAATGAAAAATGAAAAGTTTCGTCGCATACCATATCATACCAGCCATGCTCCTCGCCAGACTCAGGTATAGGTGGCAGGCTACCGAGGTATAGACCTATCAATAGTAATCGGAATATCGAGAGAGTACGTCTGCCCGCTGCTTCTGTGACGAGTATAGAGAGTGCGTGTACTCACGGCGCGTCGCCTTCCTGTAGCAGGGGTTCCTGTGGTCCCGGTTCGGGGGGCTTCTTGCCGGGGCCGGCCTCCGAGCCGCGCGCCGCCAGACTGTGACAGAACCAATACGGGTCAATTAGAAGCCCTACCGTTTTTAGACATACTACACTACTATGGGTACTACCTACAGCTCACAGGATGGATCCAGTAATAACAGTTCATGGAAGCTATTTCCATTTTACTACAAGCAGAAAAGTTCAAAAGTTTGTCATCAAGAGTGACGGAGTCTACAAGGGAACTGGTAATGGTCCTCAGTTGGCCCCGGTGTTGTTTTGGATGAAATTGAAAGGAGATTGAGAAAAACCGTTCATTTTAACATTTTCATGTTTAATAAGTTAGAAACCTTATAAAATAGCCTTGTGAAATTTAATTATTTATTTATTTAATTGAACAATTACATTTGATTGCTACAAGTGATGGAACCTGTAACCAAGTTGACCTTACCTAATCTGACTACTTGCCATCGGTACCTGCAGGAGCTCTACAAGTGCTCTACATGCGCTCTACATCACTTACCACTTAGCCCTGAAACAAAATAGGACGAGATATTACGCAAAGCTTATTGTAATAACAACAAGTTGTTAACTGCTGCTCGTGGCGGAGGCTGGTGTGCCGCCTACCATTAACGCTTCAAGACTTTGAAACGAGGAACTTTTATTCTTAGCACGTGTTCACAAGCGACTTCCAGGAAAAAGGAAGAACACTTTTTAATAAGCCCGTAATATTCATAACTGCTTCATAAGCTTCTTATGAGCCAGCCCGGCTGAGCCACTCTGCCTATTTCTATCGCGCTACAGTCATGCGTTCCAGTTCGAAGGTTGGGATAATCACGGGACTAGAGAACTGATTTTTTTGATTTCATTTTTACTGTTGACTGGACCTCTTGTGAGTCCGCGCGGGTAGGTACCAGCACCCTGCCTATTTCTCCCGTGAAGCAGTAATGCGTTTCGGTTTGAAGGGTGGAGCAGCCGTTGTAACTATACTTGAAACCTTAGTACTTATATCTCGAGGTGGATGGGGTATTTACGTTGTGAATGTCTATGGGCTCCAGTAACCACTTAACACCAGGCGGGCTGTGAGCTCGTCCCCATCCAACTAAGCAATAAAAAAAAATAGTATAATATTATGTACGTAGTATGCGTCTATCGCAACGGTCGAGCCATGCGTGAGCGGTGACCGTCGTGCGCCCCGGGTGTGTGGTGTGTGTGAGTGAGTGTATCGACGCGGTATCGATGCGTACCAGGAGCAGGAGCAGCAGCAGCACCAGCACAGACAGCACGGCTTGGCCGCGGGCCGGCAGCCGCGCGCCAGCGCCGCCAGGCTGCACATCTGTAACAACACTCAGTGTCAACAAACATCCACAACATACGGCCAGGGCTGAGCGACAGACTCGCGCTTCCGCGATCAATATATCATTTACGCATTACGACCTCAAATGCCAGAGGGGGCATTGCATTATGACGTTTATGAGCCCCGATAACCACTTAACAGCAGGTGGGCCGTGAACTCGTCTACCAGACTATGTAATCAATACTAATATTATAAAACTGAAGAGTTTGTTTGTTTGAACGTGTTAATCTCAGGAACTACTGGTCCGATTTGAAAAAATCATTCAGTGTTAGATAGCCCATTTATAGACGAAGGCTACAGGCTATATAAAATCACGGTAAGACCAATACAAGTGGAGCACCAATAAATAATGTTTCAAAATATTTTCACTTTCTACGTAAATGAAGTGGGGGGTAAAATTTAGCGTTATGCCAAAGTAACTATTCCACGCGGACGGAGTCGCGGGCAAAAGCTAGTTAATAAAAAAATGCGTGCGTACAAAGTACACATGTCAGAAGTGAAACTTTTTTGGCGAACTAATTTATAAGTCTTGCTTATATTTATACAAATCTAAAACTTTAGATTTCCGAGACTTAGAGGAAGGGAAAAAGGAAGATATGTTCCTATCAAATGTCAATCTCAAACCTCAGTGTTGACAGTCACATTATGTTTAGATTTCTAAATTATAAATGACTAATATTTTGCCAATTGAATTGACTAATTTAATTTCATACTATTTGATTAATGTTCCAAATTCTTTTCATTTCATTTCAATTCCTATTAACATTTTTCTCAAAAAAAATTTAAAATATTAGGCTGTATGGTATGATACATTTGCCTTTCCAGTTGGAAAAATACAACAACTACTACTACTGACATTTGACAAGTACGGTACTTAATTTCAATAGCAGTTTGATGTCACTTCCGATGCATACCTGCGTGACGTTCTGTAAAAATTTTACCCTCATACGCTTAAAGAAGTTTCACTTCAATAAAGTCCAGGTCCAATATTCTCGATATTCTCGAATTGTTACTACTGCGTGTAGCTACTACCAGTAGTAGCCTCAATGGGTATTCCTACTTCAGTCTCCCGCTAATTCCTATTCGACTTTTGACGTGTGTTTAGAGTGCTCGTGATTCGACGAAAACGGAACAAATATTGTTGACAACGTTTTGTTAACGTAAACGTTTGTTATTTTTCTGTGAATCAAATTCAAAAAATTCTGTTCAAATATTCAGAAGTGAAAACACTAAATTCCTTACAAACACACATCAGTTCAAGGACGGGCTCGCGATGGCCGGCGCCGCGGCGCTGTGAAGTACTCTTACACGAATTTCCGAATATCTCTAAAAATATTATTCGAAATTCTGAACATAAAACAGACGTTAACTTTGTTGTTATCAATAAAGAAAAACAGTGAATATTCCTTCAATTAAAATAACAGAACAAAAAACTGTAACAAGCTGCAAAGCGTGAGAAAAACTGCGACTTCTTTCAAGAGTCAATTCTATAGCACACTAGTATTGCATAAAGAGCAAAGAACAGTTCCCATACGGGTTGGATACACGACAGCGACAGGCGACCGACCAATCACATCGTCTTCCATTATACCAGCCGTTACCAGCGCCGCTTCTCAAAAACTCGTAAAATGTCCTCGCCACTCAGATCTTCAGACTCAACATCTAGTGATCATTGACAGTCAGTCAAAAGATTCATCCCCGAAATTGTTTGAAACATGACAATAAGCCCGAGCACCTATCAAACCGTCCACAGAACAAACAAACAAACACCCGAGACAAAAATAAAAACGTTCATTTTTCTTCCTAACGACATATTATTATGTCGACGCGACGACATACAACATATTACATGAGTAGAAACTCAAAATAATAATAGAACTCGGCTGAAATTTCAAATGAGATATCATGATTAAAATAGGAATGTTAGTTAAATATTTAAAACGTCCATACTCCTATAACTAATTTCAGATTGTGTGCCACAGAACTTATATGTAATAATCCTGCTTGACTTAACTCAAAATACAAAAATTCAAGTAATCGTAATAAAACAATAATATCCCAATACTTAATAGCTGGTTTTTATATCATCCTACTCCATTTCAACCAGAACTGTTGGTTGCTTCGAGACAGGAGCGAGATGTATAGGATCGCAGACAGCTTCGTCCTGCTCTACTGCCGCTCCATTCTCACACTCACATGACGTCATATCATTCACGCTTCTCGTTCAATTTATTGAAGATTCAAGAACAACTAAAGATACCGCTTTCATTGAATTCCTTCGTTGAATCAATACGTAGCTACCTACGAGTTATGGAACACAGTCCCAAATCGATCAGCAAGAACATAATTGTTTATTTTCCACATCCGAGGTGTAGCTAGCTTCGAAAATGACTTTTAGAAAAATCAATAATTTGAAATGTTTATTTCAGCTCCAGCTAACAACCGTGGAGAGCTACAGAAAGCCTTAGACTTCAGTTAATAAACAATGTAGAATACGGAACAAACACCGGTCTTCAAAATAATATTAAAGTATACACGACAGACCACCGCCTGCAGGACAAACAAACATACAATGCTAATAAAACAAGTGATAATGTCACTTTATACAAATCATTCTCTTGCGCATTTTTACGCGGATTGTATTATAATAAATAACGTGATTATCGCGGATTAAAGCTGTCATAATATAGTGAAAGAATGTTTAGCTGTCAATATGTGTTCCGTCGCTCATCGAGTGGCTAGCTCGGGGCGCTGTGAGACATGTGCTGACCCAAAAATAACTATTTACAATATACATAGAGGCGGAACAGTCGGCGAGACCGCGGGCCAGCGCCGGCCCGTGACTCAGCCGCGCCGGCGGGCAAGCTCTCTAACGAGCCCCTAGCTACATAAGAGGTACTTCTCAGCGAGGTGGCATCCTTAAAGGTTATTTTTGTTATTATTGAGGTAAATTTTATTCTGTCCTCAATATCTGAACAATGAAAATGGGGTAATGTTATTGAGTTTATCTGTGTATCTGAGTTATCGGAGCGATCGTGTGGATGGCGTGTCGCGCGGCCCCGATGTTTGCACGTCATCACGTGTATTCAGGCGCCTGAAACCAAAGTGCCGAAGCTAAGACAAGCTGCTCTGTCCCTGTACGAATATCCGCGCTGCAACAAATAATCGTATCGTTTCAAAGGTGAGATGTGGCGCGTCCGTGGCATACATTCAGCTCGTACCTCCGGCTGCGATATTCTGAGCTTCAGTTTACTTTCAATGGAGGCCGTTTAACAACATTCAGTTCGCTGTTTGAAAATAACCATTTTTACTGGACTGAAGCTTTTTATGTGTTTGAACAAAACTCTAAATAAATTATCAAACTGAACGTAAAGAAATGTATGAAGTTAAACAATTTTTCCCGACGCTGAAGCAATTAGCGCATAAAGATATACAGTTCAGATATCATTCCCTGTATTTGACAAAATACGAAGTTTTGTAATCCTAGATAAGATACCAATGCAGCACTAATTAATCGGTTGAAATTTTAAACTCCGATAAAATATATTTGAAAGACAACATCAATCTATCTACCACAACGAGTCGTCGAACATGTCATTGATAACTCAGTGAATGCCACAGACGGTACTGGAAGACTACAGCAGCACGTGGGGGAGGGACGTGTGCTGCAGGAGGTATGTGCTGTAGTTGTAGAGCACACTGGCACGAACGAGTAAATATGCAAGGAAGTGAGCGAAGACACGCGAAAAATAAACATTTTTGGAGGGTAGTAGGTGAGGGTCGCGGGCTGCGGGGCGCGGCGCGGTATTTATAGCACGTCCTCATTGAGAGCGCGCCTGTGTGCATGCGCCTGTCGAGCGTGGTGTGCGTGCGCAGCCATATCGGCGCGCCGCCCTCCGCACTCGCGCCGCAACACTACACCACTAGGCACCACTCAGCAACACTCGGCACAGCACTACGTCACGACACCGCCCCACTACTGCACTGTCTGCACTGTCTGCAAGTCGTCAAATCAAACTAATGACCGGGCTCTAGTGGGAGCCGACGCCCGCCGTACGTACGTGCCGATCCACAGATGGGTAAAAGACTCCACTTTGACGAGCACGGGGCACCGTAGAGATGAGTTCACGAGACGAGATCTCGTCGATCGGCAGATATCAGGTCGCGATGCAGGCGGGTCAATAGCTCGCCGGCGGAGGGTGCGCGGGGCGGGCGGGGCACATGCGCAGCGCGGACAGATCGATGCAGGGGACTCACCTGCGCGCGGCGGCCAGCCCGGCGCTAGCGGGCGCGCGGGCGCGGCATGCGAGGCCGCCCGAGATGGCTGCACGGACACGGGCCGCGGTCGGCGCGCGACTGACTCTCCGCCCGCCCTGCGCCGTCCCGCCGCCCCTCCGCCCCGCTCTATGAATGAAGTGCCGCGCCGACACCGAGCCTCGCCCGGACCCCTCCCGGACCGATCGGCAACGCTTCACACCTTACACTCGGACGACACGCGCACGACATCAATGCGCATTCGATCGGATCGGACACTCCGAGATCACTGCATCAATCGGGAGCGGCGAGCGCATCCCCAGCCGAGCATCTCCTGAAGACCAGGAAACGACGCTCGATTTCCCGGTCTGAACGGAAACGATCCGTCAGATTTTCCGAGAAGAACGGCCGCGACTAAAGGCGCGAAGCATATGCGCGGTCCGACAGCGGTGCGGGGTGCGGGGTGCGGTGCGGTGCGCGCGGGGGGCGGGGGCGGAGGGCTGCTACGCCGCTCGCTACGTCGTAGGGGCGCGCGACACCTCACCGCTCGATCACAGCACGCACTTCATTGATTCCGCAACACACACAAAATCAATTTTCCATGAGATACACTTGCCGCGCCGGTGTCTCTGCTGCCGATGCCTTGTTCATACATTACAATTAATGTATCTATCTAAACCATAGCTCCAGCTCACGTTTAGTTATAATATCGGCTACGAGACGAACAAGTACAATAATGAAATGTCTTTGTGAGTTCCGCTTTGAATGAAAGACAATTTCGCAAAAACGACTAAATACACGTGAGCTACATGATTCCGTGGGATGCGACGGGCAGCGCCGGCAGCGCGGCGGCAAAATAGCCTACACTGTTTATTTAGACATTGTAAAGTAGTACGTTCTTATTTACTTAACTCTTTAAACATATTCTATATCAGGAAGAGCCGTTGGAATGGTCCGCTTCGAAACGGAAACATTTTGTTTGAATGTGCATTGAAAACATATTTTTCTCCAACGAGTATTTAGAAGAAAATAAAAATGCAAATCAAAATGTCTGAAACAGTTAGTTCAGTGTGTTCCGTGACCTCTCCGTCGAACCAGCGCTGATCGTAGTAAATTTATCTGTGAACCACATCACTTGGTTGGCTTGTTAGTCTTCCCCCACAGTCCTCAACGCGTTATTCGGGTTACAGCACGACATAACCGTTCCCGAAACCGAAGCCGAAAACGTCACACCACATTGTGTGCGCCAACATCGTACCACAATCGATACGATACGATATTCATTTCCTGAATTATTATTTATTGTCATAATGTCATTGTATGCAGACATGCGGCCCGCCTGCCAGCCACGCAGTGCAGCCGCTGCCAGCCACTGAGCTGCCTACAGAGCTATGCAAAACAAACAAGCTCGCATTTTAATCTATACTAAATAATACTAATATTATAAAGCTGCAGAGTTTGTTTGTTTGAACGCGCTAATCTCAAGAGCTACTGATCCGATTTGAAATTCTTTCAGTGTTAGATAGCCCATTTATCGAGGAAGGCTATAGGCTATATAACATCACTATAAGACCAATACAAGCGGAGCACCAATAAATTTTGAGAGCTTCCGCTGCGTGCGATGCAGAAACGGTTAGTTTCGCTAAAAATTAAATAATGTATGACAGAATTGTTCCCCTTTAAAGGATCTAAAAAAAGTCCGCGATAGCATATGTCTATATGTTAAGAAAGTCCGCGACAGCATATGTCTATATGTTAAGGTTAGCTCATAACATTTTTTATACTTACCAAATTTGTTCTAAAATAAAGCATTATATTTTATGAAATATTCCGCGCGGACGAAGTTACGGGCAAAAGCTAGTGAGTTCATATTTCGTGAATATGTTATTGACATAAATGAGCGCACGCAGTAATACTGTTTGTCCAAGTCACCGAGCAGCTGTCTCATTGCATCAGAACTTCAGATGACATCGTCGCCCGACCCGCCTGAATGCCCATCTATGAATTAAAACTAGATCTAACATAACGAACTAATTCACTATTTGATACAAAGTATCGCGGCAACTTTGGCAAATTCTTTGGATGGCGTAACTGAATGAACGAGCTCCGTCTGCAGGACTCCAGCGCGGACTCGCTCATCACTTCCACTGCACCGCCTCTACGAGTACGCACATATACGAGTATGTACAGACAGCACAGGTGATGTGTGACGTGTGACGTGGTGCGCGACCGCCTCGACTCCGTGTTCTGTTCGTGAGAAATTATTAACCGGCTGTAGTGTTGTTTTGAAACACCCACACCCACCCTGTTGTACTGTTAGAACTGAAACTTTAGGACACATGTCTCAAGGTGAGTGACGGCATTTACGTTATAGACGTCTATGGGTTCCGGTAACCACTTGACACCAGGTGGGCCGTGAGCTCTATCTAAGGCCCGCTATCTAAGCAATAAATAAATTAAACACAAGGTAGAGGTTCAATTCCGGTGTGTTACGACGCGTTTCTTATAAACATTTGGGGTTAAGAAGGTGAATATCTAACCAGTGTCCTTCAGCTACAGTGCGGACCTCGTGTAGTCGGAGCACAAGACGAGAGCAGCCGGTGGCCGGTTCAATACTCGGAAACATTATGTGCATAGACCATAGGAGGACGCAACTGCAGAGATATTCGGCGAACTATTTTATTTATTTATCGCGGTTGAATATTGCATTCGGTTCACTGATAGTGTTTGCGGCCGCCCAGAGATGTCAATAATGGCAGAGTCGAACCGCTGCGTGCCGTAAACTACTTTCTTAGATATATTTTGAAGAGGAACATATAATATATACTTAGTCACAGTAGTTTTAACAAATGAGTGCTTTCTATTTCTGCTGATGAAAGGTGCTACTTACTATATTCATCTAACGGAAATGATTTATGCTGCCAAATTTATGTTATGTCATTAGTATAAGGTAAGTGTAAAGGGTTTCTGAAGGAGATGCTTCTCTAACACCGTTGTTATTGAAACTAGATGAAAAGATTATTTAAAACTTAAAGTGAGAGATGTTTTTAAAACCATTTTCTTTTCAATAATGTATTGTTTACAAGCAATAAATGTGATCCTTTTTTCTCTAAGAATTTTAAATTGTTATTCGCCGGGTTGTGCGTTCGACAAAGTCTGGCACAACGGTTTGATCTATAAACTGTACAACATGGGAGTGCCAGACAGACTCGTGCTCATCATACGAGACTTCTTGTCGAACCGTTCGTTTCGATATCGAGTAGAGGGTACTCGCTCGCGTCTCCGTCATCTGACTGCCGGAGTCTCGCAAGGCTCCGCGCTCTCCCCGTTACTATTTAGTTTGTATATCAATGATACACCCCGGTCTCTGGAGACCCATCTAGCGCTCTTCGCCGATGACACGGCTATCTACTACTCGTGTAGGAAGATGTAGTTGCTTCATCGGCGACTCCAGATCGCAGTAGCCACCATGGGACAGTGGTTCCGGAAGTGGCGAATCGACATCAACCCCACGAAAAGCGCAGCGGTGCTCTTCAAAAGGGGTCGCCCTCCGAACATCACTTCGAGAGCACCCCACTCCGTAGTAGGCGCGCAAACACCTCCGCCGTTAGTCCCATCACTCTCTTTGGCCAGCCCATACCGTGGGTCTCGAAGGTCAAATACCTAAGCGTCGCCCTCGACAGAGGGATGACATTCCGTCCCCACATAAAAACAGTACGCGACAGCGCCGCGTTTATACTAGGACGACTCTATCCAATGCTTTGTAGTCGAAGCAAACTGTCCCTCCATAATAAGGTAGGTAACTCTCTACAAAACTTGTATACGCCCCGTCATGACGTATGCAAGCGTAGTGTTCGCTCACGTAGCCCGCACCCACTTGAAATCCCTTCAGGTTATTCAATCCCGATTCTGCAGGATAGCCGTCGGAGCACCATGGTTCCTGAGGAACGTGGATCTCCACGATGACCTGGAGCTCGACTCGTTTAGTAAGTATTTACAGTCGGCATCGCTGCGCCATTTTGAGAAGGCGGCACAACTTGAGAACCCTCTCATCGTAGCCGCTGGAAACTACATACCCGACCCAGCAGACCGAATGGTAAACCGTTGACGTCGCCCAAAGCACGTCATTACGGATCCTCCTGGTCCATTAACGGTGCTTTTAGGCACCACAAGCACCGGTCACCGTCCTCATCGAACCCGTCGCTTGCGACGAAGGGCTCGACGAGCGAACTAACCCATAGACACAGCCTACTGAGTTTCTCGCCGGATCTTCTCAGTGGGTCGCGTTTCCGATCCGGTGGTAGATTCTGTGAAGCACTGCTCTTCAGTCAGTCAGTCGGTGTTAGCAACTCCCCGGTTTGAACCCCGTGAGCTCACCTACAAACGTTAGGGCGAAGCTGAAATAGCCTCTCAAGGCTATCAGCATAGGTAGGATAAAAAAAAAGCCGGGTTGTCAAAGGTATATTGGACTTCAATTCATGCTGAGATTTAGTCATTTTGTGAATTTTTATAATTTAGCGTTTGTTTTTATGTTTTTAATTTCATTTCAATGTGGTGTTGTAGGCGGATGCTGCGTCCATGGACGCCGGAACAACTTATCCATTCTCAAGAAGCTTGGCATTACCACGAGGCAGTCCGCTATCTGCTTGTAACGTATTCTCACGTACTTCGGTCACTTCGTTCGTAGAGGCCCTGATAACTTAGAGAACCTGATGGTAGTTGATCAGGTTGACGGGAGAAGATCTGGTGGTAGGACATCTTGCGAGTTCGTACGGGTACCGTACCACCACCACCTTACCTATTTCTGCCTTGAAGCAGTAATGCGTTTCGGTCTGAAAGGTGGGGCAGCCGTGGTACTGTTAAAACGAGACCTTACAGCTCATATATCAAGTTGGGTAGCGGTAACCACTTAACATCAGGTGAGCCCTGAGGCGTAAAATAAAAAGATGACGCGGACGCTTACCTACCCGCTGGTCTGATCTGGTAGACACTCACCGACCGGCCAATAACCGAGGCTATAAAGATCGCCGAGGACAGGAAGACGTGGGGAAGTACAGGGCATCGAGTGGTCAACATTTTGAAGTAGACACGAACTTCAGCAATGAAAAAGCCGACTCGGAAGAAGATAATTTAACCGTTGAGTTTATAAAAACAGTAAATAGACCTTTATCTGTTTTTTCTTAAATTCATCTACAGCTAAAGACTTGAACTTTACTGGTGGTAGGACCTCTTGTGAGTCCGCGCGGGTGGGTACCACCGCCCTGCCTATTTCTGCCGTGAAGCAGTAATGCGTTTCGGTTTGAAGGGTAGGGTAGCCGTTGTAACTATACTGAGATCTTAGAACTTATATCTCAAGGTGAGTGGCGCATTTACGTTGTAGATGTCCATGGGCTCCAGTAACCACTTAACATCAGGTGGGCTGTGAGCTCGTCTACCCATCTAAGCAATAAAAAAAAATAAAAAAAAATGAAACAACATCATACCTTTTATCTCCTGATCGGATCATTTTTGGCTGAAATTCAACTTATAATAAATGAGTATAAATATTTTTGTCGATTCTCCACAGTTAATTTCAGTATTGTCGTGACGTTACTTGAACGCAATCCGAAGTCTCTCTCACAAAACTCAGCCGACGCTCGGAATGACCGGGCTCGAGCGAGCTGTCTCCGCTTGTGGTTGCGAGCGAACAAAGAATAATGAGAAAATTGAGAAAATAAATCATGTTTTCGCTATACTATTACTAGAGTAATAGTATATATACTACGTTATACTCTAGTAATAGTATAGGTACGTTTACTGATTAAGCTTCGTGAACCTTTCCTCTTAGATTTACCCTGAATAAGAAAATTGATTATTTTACGTTCCCAAGTGTTCAGTTTGTGATGTAGTGGAAGATGCTTTTCACATTATCCTGGAGTGTGCGCGGAACGATGATTTGAGACAACAATTCTTTGCAAATATACAGATTTTCGACAAGTTGGAGGTTTAAATTACGTATTAGCCTTTTTGGAATCCGAAATGGCTAAGTCACTTTATAAAATAGTTTTGGTGGGCCTTCAGAGACGATAACAGTTCCTTTATTTTTTTATATAATTATTTTGTTACTCTCTTTTGCTGCACAATGGAGTGGCATATTCACTAGGTGAATAATCTCCTTAAATAAAGAAGAAAAAAACGTTTAAAGAGTTCGGTCTTGAATGAATAAATTATCAATAGAAGTAGCTGGGTTGGATTATCATAAATTATGCCGAAACATAAATAAAACGGACCGCTCTGAGCTCCGGCTGTGGATTGGAAATGATAACAAGGTTACAAGCGCTGTGTCTACACTTCACACCGTCCGCCGCGCCGGTTACCATTTATTGTAAGCAAATACGTGTGTGTGGCTTATATCTAAATCAAAGTTCGGAGCAGGAGACTCAACCAATTTGATTAGCTACTTCAAGATTTCTCGCACACTGCAATAGTAGTAGCAGAAGAGTACCTATAGACTGTTTACATGTTATATTGTACGGTGCAGGAGTAAATATGTGAAACTCAAAGGCATATTTTATAGGATACCGCAGTGATATGGAAAACGGCACACGATAGAGTGATTATCGACGTCGGCGCTCGGCTGTAGGCAGCGCGGCGGGCTATCGGGGCGCCGAGTGTGAGGGCGGGGGGCGGCGGGGCGGCGGGGCGGCGGCGGTCAATACGAGGGGCGGGCGGCGGCGGGCGGCAGTCGCGCCTCGCAGCCCGCACAGACTCCGCGCGCAGGTGAGCACGCCGAGCCGAGCCAGCCTCGACCCGTACCCACGCCGCTTATAACTAAATTCTCAATTCGAACAACTTTACTTGTTGTTCTCGTTCGATAACTAACGATGATGATTATTCAAGTCGTACCCTACTGATCAAACTGTAGTATTTCATCAAATTAGTCGATGGTTTTGTAAGAATTGTAACCGTTTTGTTGAGTAGGATTATGACCGATCGAAAGTGAATAAGGGGGCGCACGCGGAAAGGGGTGCGGGTGTGGGGGGTTCAACAGTGGGCGGCGGGGGCTGCGGGGGCCCCACGCCTAACAGCGACAGGCGTGAGTTCAGGGAGGTGTTCCCTTTAATTCGTTTTATGCACTCCCTTCAATGAATATAGGTGAGGAGGTCTCGGATGCGTGATGGCCGTCACTAAAGAGTCGTTATGATCGACAGTTANAAGGGGGCGCACGCGGAAAGGGGTGCGGGTGTGGGGGGTTCAACAGTGGGCGGCGGGGGCTGCGGGGGCCCCACGCCTAACAGCGACAGGCGTGAGTTCAGGGAGGTGTTCCCTTTAATTCGTTTTATGCACTCCCTTCAATGAATATAGGTGAGGAGGTCTCGGATGCGTGATGGCCGTCACTAAAGAGTCGTTATGATCGACAGTTAACAAGACAGGAAGATAGATTGGTTCGAGATGGATAGCGGCTCGGGGGTGGGCAGCGTAGCGTCTCTGAGCATGGACTGCGAAGACATGTTTAAGGAGATCACCAAGAAACTGTACGGCGAGGAGGCAACAGTGGGCGTGGTGGGCGTGGAGTTTCCAGCAGCCGAGCGCGACCTAGACGACGACCTGCGGCCTGAAGAGCACATCACCGCCTGGGGCCTTGCCGCCCTCATGCAGAACGGCTTCCCGCCCCCGGGGATCTTGCAGGTTCTAAACTATATTAGTAGTCATCGACACTCGTTACTTATAATAACTTCGATAAATAGATTCGAAATAATTTACACTTTGTACCTCTCTGTGTACTTATTTTACTTGGGTAGGTGAAGGTATATTGAAAGATTAAAAACAAAAACAGCTTTTTTTACAGTTTTGGCCTTTTTAAAGCGTTTCTCTCGTCTGATAAAGTTTAAGCCACGAATAAATGTGTAGGCGAACTTCAGTCCGCGCATCGACCCTACAGCCGAGGACCGGTGGACGGCCGCGGAGGAGCCGCTGGCGTGGGCGCACTCCCGCATCGCCGCGTACAACCCCGCGCAGAGACTGTTCAAGTGCGCGCACTGCGACTGTGTCGGCTTCCTCGCCAGGGTCGCGGAGCACTGGCTCGGCACACACTCGCAGGTACAACACTTTAATACGTTATAATGTATTTAACATAACAGGTATTACGAAGAAGAAACAGCATCGTAACATGCATTCTTCTCATGCCGTATGCCAATTTTACAAGAGATGCGGTCTTAGAAATCATCACAAACGTACAGTGGGAATTACTTTATGTAAATATCGATTTAAGCAGGCAGTAATGCGTCTCGGCTTGAATAGTCTGCAGAATAGACTGGTGGTATGACGTCTTGTGGGTCCACACGGGTAGGTGCCATCACCTTGCCTATTTCTGCCGTGAAGCAGTAATGCCTTTTGGTTTGGGGTCAATCGTTGTAGGTACTGTACTAAAACATTAGAACTCATATCCCAAAGGTGGGTGGCGGCATTTACGTTATAGATGTCTATGGGCTCCGGTAACCACTTGACACCAGGTGGGCCGTGAGCTCGTCCACCTATTTAAATAATAATAATAAGCCTCTAGGTACGGAAGGACTTCGGTTTTCTCTGTGTTGTGTACCGTATATTCCGCAGGGAATGGCTCCGAGGAATTGTTCAAAATGATCTCATCACGTTTTTATCATCGCGCCGTGCGCTCNTTACGTTATAGATGTCTATGGGCTCCGGTAACCACTTGACACCAGGTGGGCCGTGAGCTCGTCCACCTATTTAAATAATAATAATAAGCCTCTAGGTACGGAAGGACTTCGGTTTTCTCTGTGTTGTGTACCGTATATTCCGCAGGGAATGGCTCCGAGGAATTGTTCAAAATGATCTCATCACGTTTTTATCATCGCGCCGTGCGCTCCCGTAGCTGTTCATCCATACTACCCAGAAGCGATGCGTTCACCTAGTGTTTGGAATGAGCTCCACTATGTTTCTCGAGCGCTACATGTCCTGCTTCAAACAAGGCTTGCGTTAAGTAGTCAGTAATAGGTAGCGACTTGTCTTTACCTCTGGCATTGTTGAAGTCCATTAGCGACGGTAACCACTCATCATCGGCGGACCCGTAGGCTCGTCTGACCAGAGTAGCAATAAAAGCGTATTTTACCAAACTAATCTTATTTTTATATTGTTTTGAAGTACATAGTATTAGTAATTCGGCTACGGAAGCGGTTCACTCATTCCCCGTTTATCGCAACACGTATCTTCTAAGTATAACATATTATAATACATAAAGTGGCTGTCTGGCCAGCACATCAGCCGACAGCACCGGTTCACTACTGTATTTAGTCTGAGAGCAAGCTGTAACTTTGCAGGCGCGTGCATTCCAGTGTCCGGTCTCCGGATGTGGGTTCGCGTCTAGCTGGGCGCGCAGTGTCCGCCAGCACCTCGCGCGGGACCACCACTCCGACCCCGCCGCCGCCGACCAGCTGCTGCGGGACAACCCCGCCCTCGACGACCTCACGCGGTACTTGCAGAGACTGAAGAATAAGGTAAGTGCAACCTTTTCAACACGTATCGGGAAATCATCACGCCGACCTTGTTTCCCTACGTATCTGTAGAAGTAATTACACTGCGCTCTTTACCAGGTCGAATCTATGCGTAACGACCGGCGCTCCAACCCCGGAGGGAGCGTGGACAGTCCGCAGAGCGACGCGGGCGCGGGGTCCGGCGGCGGCGCGGCGCCCGGCGCGGTGCCGGACGGCGGCAAGCGGTACGTGTGCGGCGTCTGTCCCTACGCTACCGACCGCCGCGACCTCTTCACCAGACACGAGAATATACACAGAGATGAAAAGCCCTTCCACTGCTACCTCTGTCAGAAGCAGTTTAATCGCGCCGATCACGTCAAGAAACATTTTCTGCGCATGCATCGGGATCAACCCTACGACCTGAACCGCATTCGGCGCGCGACCAACAAGCCGCAACCACAACCGCAACCCGCACAGCAGCACCAGCAGCAGCAGCAGCAGCAGCAGCAGCAACAACAGACCCCAAGTCAGGCCCAGCAGCAGCCGACGCTGCACTACTACGGCAAGCCGCCCGCCGAACCTCCGCCCGCCCCCGTCGCCGCCACCGTGGTCACGGAGTACCGCACCGTGGTGCCGTCGGTGGTCAAGATAGAGCGAGCTCCTCTAACGAAAGCGGAGCCGGCGGCCGCCGCCAGCCTGCACAAGCCGGCCGCCGCCGCCGCCGCCGGGCCCGCCGCGCCCGCCGTCGCCATCCCGCCCGCTCGACGGAAGGTACTGGTATTTCTCAATAATTGGCTTCTTTAACGTGAAGCCTTCTCATCAAATGAGTTGGAAATCTCAGGGGGAGCGTAGATACGCGTGCTGCTACTGCGCTTGGTCCGGCGTGGACAACTGGTGCCTGAAGCGGCACCTCAACACCCACCTCAAGCCGTTCGCGTGCGCGCTCTGCGAGTACAAGGCGGCGCGCTCGGAGCGGCTGGCCACGCACGTGCAGAAGGTGCACAACAAGAAATCCTGCGGGAAGTGCCCGTTCCTCGCGGACGACCAGCACCAGCTCGCAGCTCACCTTCGCGACTCGCAGTGAGTACGCCCAATTTTCTGTGTCATTTAAATGGTCAGTAGACATTCGTGCGAGAGTCGAACGCAAAGCGCCTTTATCATAGGAGCTGTGGATCCTCGCGCGAAGGGTGCGGCGGCCCGGGTAGGTTCCACGTCCGACGATCGCTCTGCATAAGTACGTTTGCTTCAGCCACGTCGAGAGCCGCAACCTGAAGGTGCCCATCAACGTGGGCCGGGCGCCGGGCGGCGCGGCGGGCGGCGTGTTCCCGGCGGGCGGCGTGCAGCTGTCGGCNCGCGGCGGGGGCGGGCGGCGGGGGCGGCGCGGGGGGGCGGCGGCGCGCGGCGGGGGCGGCGCGGCTGTTCGGGTACCTGGAGGCGTCGGACGGGTCGGGAGACGAGTACGAGGCGGCGCCGCTGGAGTACGGCGCGGGGTACGCCCGGGACAAGGAGAACGCGGCCCCGCTGCACCACGACCACTGCCTGCGCTACTAGCGCCCCCGGACCCCGGGGCGGACTTGCATCAGTCGCATTTATTCTTCAAGTTTCCATAAAGTCGGTCGCAATGAATGAGCGACGCGCGGGTCACAAGTACTGACGTACAGTTCCCGCGCCGGTGTACTTAGTTAATCTCCCAGGACGACGCCGTTAATTCTAAGTGTTAAGTAAATTCGTTAAATATAATATGTTAGATTAATGTTTCACCAAAGAATTATGTGCAGAACATTGATTATAAAGTTTATTGATCTCACTGATAAGTTGTTTTATTGTACACCTGTTAATTTTATACTGGGTCTGCGTCTGCGGAGGGACTTCGGTTCCCTCTGTATTTTGTACCGTATGTTTCATGGGGAGTGCTCTGAGGAATTGTTCAAGATGATACCAGCATCCCGTTTTTACCATCACACCGCCCGCCACCGGAGTAGAGTTCATCCATACTACCTGGAGCCACTGTGGTCATCCACAGTGCGTTTCCAGAGATCTTGTTTGCCACGTACCATCCGGCTATGGAATGAGCTCCCCTCCACGGTGTTTCCCGAGCGCTATGACATGTCCTTCTTCAAACGAGGCTTATGGAGAGTATTAAGCGGTAGGCAGCGGCTTGGCTCTGCCCCTGGCATTGCTGAAGTTCATGGGCGACGGTAACCACTTACCATCAGGTGGGCCGTATGCCCGTCTGCCTACAAAGGCAATAAAAAAAAAAACTTTATCCTTCTTTACGTGACAGTGAATTTAGGATATGAAAGGTCGCGGACGAGCGGCAGGGAGCGGTCGCGGCCCCCCAAGCCTCTGGGCGCGAGGGACCGAGTGTGGGCCGCGGAAGGTCGAGAGCTGTAGTGAGAATCTACCACTCCCACTGCACACCTGGATCTTGTAACCGATCCAGTCTGCAGGTGGCGTGAGGAGGAGGCTGAAGACCTTCGCCGTGTGAGTGCTGCGCCTTAAGCAATAAGAGGCACTCGATCCTCGAGCAGCAATATTGTCGAACCGGCAGGCGGGAGGTCCCGTCATCTCTCGCAAGAACTAATATAAGAGCCATGGTTCACTACATACCACGTACCTCAACGTATCTCACCAAAATTAAATCTGTTTTTATTGTTTAGATGGACAAGCACGCGGCCTTCCTGATGTTACGTGGTTATCGAAGCCCATAAACATCTACAACGCAAATGCTGTGACGCACCTCGAGACATACGTTCAAAGATCTTAATTTTTACAATACAACGGCTGCCCCGCCCTTCAAACTGTATGCGTTACTACTTCACAGCAGAAAAGCCGGGTGGTGGTAGCTACCCGTGCGGACTCACAAGACGTCCTACCTACCTACTTACGTAAAATTACGCAAATTATAATTTTTGTATTTAATTTATTTTTTATTACACGATGTTATCCCTTCACCGTTGGAGTCAGTCGTGAACAAGTGATAAGTACGTAATTCATTACAAAAATTGGCACCCACATGGGCCCAGTCTCACCGCTCGATACGCATGCACCGAGCGTCTTATCCTTTAGGCCACTAGAACTTAGGGTATTAATAAAACTCAATTAAATGCGAGTAATACTGTTTTATTGAGTGCGAGGTGACAGGAGGTCCTGTGCCCCCCTCTTCCCGCTCCCTCCCCCCGACACCCCGCGCCTAGATCCGAGCGAACCTCTAACATACTCAGTAAACTTTCAGCTCGGAGTTTCAAAAAATGCTCTCCGAAAATTTCATATGGTTTGTCCTGATACTGGTGATATTTATAAAATATCACCAGTATCATGAACGCATGAGTATTCCGTGTCAGAGGACCGTCGAGGTGCCGTTACATCCAAGCTCTTGGCTCCCGACAGCACGTGTCGGCGCCGGCTCCCGGAGCACCCGGCTACATGGAGCTGCCTAACTACACGTGGAGGTGGAGACGAGGAGTCCCGGGGGGAGGGAGCACCAGCACACCGCTTTACTACAACTAGAGATTCGTACCAGATAAGAGACGCGTACAAAAATAACATACAACTATATATAGACACCGCACAATATGGGACCGGTGACGTCATCAGCCCTCTCACCCCCTCGCTCTGTACTTCGAATTCTTGCAAATTGAAATACACTTTTAATTGAATCGTTAATAATATATCACTACTATTAAACCAGTTCGTAACGAGATCTTCACATTCGACGAAATTATTGATAATACTGTTGCGCTACTAACTGGGGCTTCATAGAATTAAAATAACCAAATAATGTTGAGGGTCGAGTGATGACGTCACACCTAACAACTACGTGTCACATGGAGGTGACGTCACGCGCCGCTGAGATTCACATAAATAACATTCAGGTTTGAAACTGGCGACTGGACCGAGCGCCGGGCCAAGGCACCCACCGGACGCGAGCCGGACGCGAACCGGACGCGAGCCGGACTTAAGCTTCTAAAGGATATTATTTTATGGACGTGCAAGTTTATTTTTAATATAAAATTTATAAAAATATCTGTCGTGATATGGATTATGATCCAAGTTAGAGTATACCAGTCAACAATGAACACTGTTGCAACCAGACAAGGTACACAATCAGGCAACACTTAGGACATTTATGCGTCAACATAAGACCTTATATTATATAAATATTACAAGTTTAAAGTTACACATTTATAAAACATATTTGATATCAATATATAGTGCAGCCGGCCGGTCAGTGCGGCGCGGGNGGGGGCGGCGGCGGGCGGGCGGCGCAGCAGGGCGGGCTTGGCGGCCAGCGCGGGCTTGAGGGAGCCGCCGGTGAGGGTGAGGTCGGCGAACTTGGCCGCCACGCGAGCCGTGTTCCGCGCCGGCACCGGGCTGCCCCCCGCCGGCTCCTCCGTGCCGCCCTCCGACTTGGACTGTCTGTATGGAACAAAAATACAAAATGATTAAAATTAAATATAAACTGAAGCGTGAAGCTCCAAAACAATAAAACTATTATAGACCCTTGTCTTTCTTATTCTTCTTTAATAAAATTTCAAACATTTAAATGTAATTTTAATATTGCAAAGGGACAGAGGCTGGTGCGGAGCACACCGCGTCGTGTGGAACGCACTGCACTGGAGCATTCGTTATCCACCTTCAATCCACACTTGTCTCACTGTTGAGTCGTCATCTGTGAGCGCCGGTAACCACTTAGCTCCGGTAGATTGAAGGCGCAAATGAAACTCAAACATAATTATTAATCCACAACTATACGTACTTGTGTTGAGGACGTTTCTTGAGTGTATCCCTGTTGTGCACGAAGGTATCTGCGGGGTCAGCGCCGGGCGTCACCGCGGGGGCCGCGGCGGGGGGCACCGACGGGGGCTCGACTGGGAGCAGCCCCGGGGGCGCGGGGGGCGCGGTGGGGGTCGCACGAGACGGGAGGTCCAACACTAGGTCCGGGGTGCTCTCCGCTAGACGACTGGCACATTATAAAAAGGTAGTTAAAGTGTGTCCGGCTTGAGTGGTGATTTGCACTAGTTCTTGTAAATAAATTAGACAAAGACGAATGGTAATTACGTCAACAAGATATTTCCTTCTCGCTGGAGCAGACACGAGGATATTGTTCACCTCTACTCTGTGTGCTGTCTGAAGTGCTACTGTTGTAATTATTTACGATTAAGGTGCGACGCCGCGTCTGTCGGTACGACGGTAGTACTGACACCAATCTTAGAGTACTCGATAATTTCATATTGATGTCACAGTGGCTGTGTAGTGTACTGAGATAATAATTAAATTAACTTTTGAAAATATCTTGTTCACCTGGATATAAGGCTACATTAAAAAATCACGAATAGATTGGTCGCAAAAGTACAATAATTGGACATACGTACGCTTGGTACATAACAAGGGATGGTTACCTGGCGGTGTCGGTGCGGGCGGCGGGGGCGGCGGGGGGCGAGGGCGCGGGGGCCGCGGGGCTCGTCTGAGGAGGGGGGAAGATGAGAGTTCACGGACATCACTTCACAGTGCAATCCCTACAGGCGACACGACCGCGCACCCCCGACGAGAGCCGGCACGTGACACATCATTAACATTGCAATTATTTTATTTCACATTAATATTTGAGGTTCACATTTAGTTTGCAACAACAAATTATAATATAACCTAACTATAGGTATATTTAAATAAATCTTAAATTGAACGTGCTAATTACAAAATGGATAATTACAACTCGACCAAGCTAAGTTTGCACCTCGCTGGAATGCGGCGCGGCGCCCGCTTCCCCGCTCACGTTCCCGCGATCGCCCTATTGCGTCAGTACGGTTAGCATATTTGTCGCCGACCCGCGTCATACGAGTTTTCGTCTCCCTATCCGTTGAATTTAAAATTTTGAATTGTTCTTGTAAGGTTTATTGTTGAAGTTTTGTTATATTACTGGACTGTTTTTTGTTAAGTTTTTTTGGAACTGTTGTTACTGAACGGTTAACGTTCATTTCAACAAAAATAAAATGGAAAGTTGATACACAGTGAAGGGAGAAACATAATCCTGAAAGTATTGAAGTTTTAAGAAGAAGAAAAAGCTAATAATAGAATTACCTATCCGGTGGACAATGTTATTCAGCGAACTTGTGCCGTAACCAGCATATCTAAGAGGACGCTAATGAATATAAAAAATAAATCAAACAATTATCGCAGCCAGCTGCTTAGCCAGCTGCTTTACCAGCGTCACGTTCTTCGCCACGTCCAAGTACTAATGGCCAATTAAGTCCTATAAAAATATACTTGACAGTTTTGACCTCTGTGCTCTGAGGAATATTATTAACTCATTTTACACCCTCAGAAAAGAAATCCCAACCTTAAATAAAATTCTCAAGATTGCAAAACTAGATCTGAATTATTCAGGCCAAAAAGAAACATTAAGGAAAATTATTACTGAGCAATTAGAATATAAATTTAAAAAGTGCAAGAACGCCCGGGTGATCTTAATACAAAAAGCCTATATTTCGCTATATTCTCATATACCTATGTATAATATATTGTTAAAAACAATAAATGCAAAGTAAAATCTAACAAACAATTGTTTACATTTTTAAAGTCATGGCGAATCCTTTTGTCAGACCGTACCTAAGCGGCAGTGTGACGTAATCGATGCGTGGTGCAAACTTAGCTTGGTCGAGTTGTACGTACATATACTTTAATGTCCATGGGTAACATCACCTGAATTCCAGAACATAATAACCAATAATTCCGAAGTAATATATGTACACATTTTAAATTTTTTGGAAAACAAGCGATGAGCTTGGGACAAGTCAGTAGGGTGATAGTTAGTAACGTGGGACACGGAGACGCTTAGAGTGGACTACCCGCGAAGTGGACTACGAAGTGGACTATACGCGAAGTAGACTACCCGCGAAGTGGACTACTCGCGAATCGGACTACGAAGTGGACTACGAAGTGAACTATACGCGAAGTAGACTACCCGCGAAGTGAACTACTCGCGAATTGGACTACGAAGTGGACTATACGCGAAGTAGACTACCCGCGAAGTGGACTACTCGCGAATTGGACTACGAAGTGAACTATACGCGAAGTGGACTACTCGCGAATTGGACTACGAAGTGGACTACGAAGTGGACTATACGCGAAGTAGACTACCCGCGAAGTGGACTACTCACGAATTGGACTACGAAGTGGACTATACGCGAAGTAGACTACCCGCGTAGTGGACTACTCGCAAATTAGACTACGAAGTGGAATATACGCGAAGTAGACTACCCGCGAAGCGGACTACTCGCGAATTGGACTAAGAAGTGGACTATACGCGAAGTGGACTATACGCGAAGTAGACTATACGCGAAGTAGACTAGTCGCGAAGTGGACTACTCGCGAATTGGAATACGAAGTGGACTATACGCGAAGTAGACTACCCGCGAAGTGGATTACACGCGAATTGGACTACCCGCGAAGTGGACTACCCACGAAGTGGACTATGAAATACACAGCACGCGAAGCAGACTACCCACGAAGTGGACTATGAAATACACAGCACGCGAAGCAGACTACCCGCGAAGTGGACTACACGCGAATTGGACTACACGCAAAATGGATAACACATGAAGCGGCCGACGTTGAAGAGGACTACCCTCGAAGCGGACGAAGCTTGAAGCGGATGTGGCGTGAAGCGGACACAAATCAAACACAGACATGCAAGTAACAACGTTTATTGAACACTATAAGCACCGATCACCATTACATGCGTACACTTAGCCGACTATCAAAGAATACACTCTACATACTAAATTTAGTCCTTTTAGATTTGTAGATGCGAGTTTCGCTTCCAAAGTACACTATAACCAAATTGGCGCGTAGAAGCGTAGTACGTTCGTTATATTATATTCTTTGAGTCTTTGTCACAATCACTAGCACCCACACGTGCGCGGGGCTACTCTCCGACTTATAATTAAACCTAACATTACTTAAAGTGTATTACTTAATTCTCTTAATGTCATTTGTTGTTGTTTCGATGTTCGGTGGGAGGCCGTCCGCGCGCGGGCTCCGCGTTCTACTCTGCACTGAGTTATTCTTACGCACAGTTTTATGTGACACCAAATTTATTTTAGTTCAGCAGGTAGAGTTGGAGGCAAGGTTGGAGTATTTAACTAGTGCGGGACCGCAGAGCGACACGTCTTGCAGTTCCGTGAGCCACACGCAGCGGACTCGTAAAGTTCGAATTACTAAAGCATTACTTATATGAGCAAGTGAATACTGTTTAGTCGCAAATAAACGTTAGTTCCGTGCGGCTCACACGGTGGTCTCCAGCGGTACCTGCGCGGCGGCGGCGCGGCGGGGGGCGCCGGGGGGCCTGCGGACACGACACACTACGTTAGCGGGGGGCACGGGGGGCACGGGGGGCAGGGGGCGGGGGGGGCAGGGGGCGTACGCACCTCTGGAACTCCGCAGAGTCGCGCTCGCTCCAGTCGCCGTTCTCGCACTCGTCGCTCGCTTCGTCTGGAACAGTCATTGTAGGGATGAGTCCTAACTATTGTCAAAGACACGTCTGTATGTGTGTTCACAGAAGCGCAACACGAGACGAGCTGTTGGAATCGGAACCCACTCCGTAACAACTGTCACGTTTAAGGTGTACGAAGTCGTAAGTCGAATCAAGATGAACCTTTTTCCAGTACAAATAATTAAATAAAAAATGAAAGATGTGGTGTCGTGGTACACCAGGTAGGAACGAAGTTCCTTCGGCTAATGTAGAATCGACACAATTTGCAAAAAAAAATCGTGCTCAATTTTATGTAGGTTTTCTTGATTTTTCTCTTAAATTTTGCTGATTAGTTTTTATTTAAGTGCAGGAAAGTATGTAAAAGTAAAAGAAAGAGGGAGAAAGAGAAAGGTATTATACACTACTCGCTTGTGTATGCGACTGTCGCGCCTGCGCACGTCTCATTTAACGGTTTTATTCCACGCACTTTTTTCCACGGATTTTTTCTTACGGTTTTACTATCACATTTTTTTCAGTTCGGTCGCGCAGCAAAATCCCTATCCCCTCCAAGCCTGCCATAAGGAACTTCGTTCCAAAATGATCTGAAAATAAGCAATGACCCGAGTGTATAGGAGAGGGCGAAATATCACTGGCGTCGGAACAACCACGTCGTTACAACAGCGCCGCCGACGCCAGGCCCTCCCGCCGACACATGTAGGGGACCGACTCGCGCGGGGAGCGGGGGCGGGCGCGGGGGCGGGGGCGGGGGGAGTGGCCCTTGAGTTGCCCGCGGCTATTGTCAATAAACGCAACAATGTAGTGGAGGCTTGCGCACCGTCTTCGTCGTTGTAGAGCGACAGATCGTCCGGCGCGTCGTGCTCGTCCAGTGACGTCACGTCCGGGGCACATTCCGCGCCCTCCTCCTCGTCGTATTCCTCGCCCTCCTCTTTCTCTTTATTGTCGTCCTCGCCGCTCGCATCTCTACGAAAAATTCGACAAATTAAGTACGAACAATGTATGTGGTTAACATCGAAGTGAAGCGACACTCACGGGAATCTGCTGTACAGGGCGTAGGGCGCGATGTCCTGCGGGAATACGTCCAGGTGGTGGATGATGGTGCGCTTCACCAGCTCGTTGACCAGGTTCTGCGCCGTGACCTGCTGGCCGCCGTCGGCCGGCGCGGCGGCCAGCAGCGTGGGCCCGACGCAGATGGCGAGGTTCCAGGCGTCCATCATGTTGTGGTCGCTGTGCTCGGCCAGGTGCGCCAGGAAGGCGAACAGGTAGCGCAGCACCAGCAGCGCGGGGCGCGGCAGCACGGCCAGCGTGTCGCGCAGGCGCCGCACGAACTCTGCGTCGTCGGGCACGGCCGCCACGCGCACCAGCCGCTCCTGCAGCTGCGGGGGCAGCAGCGGCGGCCGCAGCTCGCGCAGGTACAGCTTGAGCAGCCCGCACACCGAGTTGATGTCGGTCGCGTCGCGCACGTCCGCCAGCGGGTCCTCGCCGCGCTCGAAGGCGGCCCGCAGCGCCTGCATCTCCACCTGCGAGCCCGACACGCGGAACACGCCCTGGTGCCGCAGCCCGTACGACGCGATCACGCGCACGCACGACGTCAGCACCACGGGCAGCCGGTGCTCCAGCGGCGCCGCGAACTGTCCGCGGCGCAGGCGGGCGGCGGCGCGGCGCGGCGGGGAGGGCGGCCCGTAGCGCCGGCCCGCCGCCCACCCCGCCCGCGCCCCCACCGGCCCCCAGGCGCGCGCGGGCCACCCCCGCCTTGCACTCCAGGCGCGCCAGGCGGCCGGCGCACGACACGTAGGCCCGGAACTTCTGCAACAACAGTCGGCGCGTGGTACCGGCGGTCTCACGGCGCGCGGCACCGCACAGAGTTTACGAACCGCTAAGTAATAGTCCTCTTGGTCTCGTCGCGGCGCGTCGTTATCGTCGGCGGCGGCGGCAGTGGCCAGGGGTGTAGCTCCGGGGCCGAACAGGTTGCTGACGTCCCAGTGCGCGTCGCTGCCCTCCATCTGCAAGAGGCGTGGCTAGAGCGGCGGCGGCGGGGTTGGGGGCGGGGGCGGGGCGGGTGCGGGGGGGCGATGCGGACCTGCTTGATGAGCTCTGCCTCGGCGGCGTCGAGCGTCTTGGCGTTCTCGCGGCACTCCGCCCGCAGCTGCCGCGCGGCGGCGTCGAGCTGCAGGAGGCGCTGCTCCAGCTCGGCGGTGACGCGCGCGGTGTGCTCGTCCTGCTCGGGCGCCGCGTCCCCTATCACCTCGCGCATCTCCTCGTCCTGTCTGGGAATCGTCGATAAATTAAAAATACTTTTTAATTCGCTCAATGGAATTGATATAAGAGGTGTCCCACAATGGGTGGACGAACTCACGGTCCACCTGTTGTTAAGTGGTTATCAGAGCCCATAGACATCAACAAAGTAAATGCCGCCGCCTACTTGAAACATGCGTTGTATATATCAGTTTTTACAATACAATGGCTGTCCCTTCAAACCGAAATGCATCTCTGCTTCATAGCAGAATAGGCAGGGCGATGATATCTACCCGTGCGAGCTCACCAGACGAGCATCACTCAGTCCCACCAGAAAATATGCATATTAATACTGGTTTACGAATTGCATAGATTATGCTGAATATGTTTATCTCTACCAAATAGACACTAATTCTGTGATATATATCGCTTTCATTAATTAAGCCCTCTTTAGCGCGTTATCAACATTTTATATCTTGTAAAACATGTTCAACACATGAAAGGATAAAATTTATAGTAGATATCCTAACAATGTGTCGGTCTAATCGAGTTCTTAGAACACGAAAAGGCCACGTGATGTCAGCTAATAAAAACACACATAAATAAAAACTGCGGCGCTAGTTCGCTGCGACAGTGTCATCATATCAAATAGCTTCTTTTGTCTTTGTAACAAGAGTGAAATTTAGTACCATTTACAGTTTTGTTTGATTTTTTTTTTTATTGTTTGAGAACTATGTACCCAGTAAAAAAATAGTTGCATTTTTAGTAATATCTATTTGATAGTGAAAAAAAGGTCAACAAGAATTAAATAAATTAAAAATCTGGATCCCATCACTACAGGCCGGCACTAATAAATGTAAATCCCGAACAGAGATTATAAATATAGCTACCAACTTTTACACTAAATTATACAGTCAACCAGACATTAATCCACTGAGGAAAAAAGATATCTTTAGTCATACTAATACCTCATCTGTACAACGCTNCTCCATGCACTGCGAGGAACAACACGCACTGTCACGCCCTTCATACTGCCTTCATAACATTCAACCTATCAATAAAACTTAAATGTTCATTTTTTATTTAGTAGTTTTTGATATTCTAATCTCTTCAACTCAAAAGAAACATAATAGGTCTCATCAAGGCATGAAGTTGCAGTTTTACAATACTGGCCGTTTGAAACTAAACCACTACCTATATGGACCACCAATATATTCATTGATGTGGACACGATAACAACATGAGTAATTGTGGAATGCGAGTGGGTTTGTTCCGTTTGTTAGCGATGCCGCACGTGCGACTCGACATCAGCGGCGCGTGCGGAGCGAACCCTACAGCTTCTCATAAGGACCGCTTCTCATAAGGAAGCTTTGATCTAACAAAGAATATAATTATTTTTATGCATGTCCTGAAGCTGAATGGATTCCTAAGTGATCGTGAAATGCCTCAAAAATATCTGCAAAAAGTCGTCGGTTTTTGGTGTCATTTTTCATTGTGACACTGTGTCCGGTCTCGCGGCGCGGCCCGCAGAGTCCACTGAGTTTCTTGCCGGATCTTCTCAGTGGGTCGCGTTTCCGATCCGGTGGTAGATTCTGCGAAGCACGGCTCTTCCTAGGGTTCGTGTTAGCAACGTCATCAGGTTTGAGCCCCGTGAGCTCACCTACAAAAGTTAGGGTTCCGCTGATATAGCCTCTCAAGGCTACCAGCATATATAGGAAAAAAAAAAAAAAAAAGCGGCCCGCAGCCTGGCGTGCCAATACCAACTGCAGTATTGAAGGTGAACAATGTTCTTGTTTGTGCCCGTCGATATTTATAAACAATCTGGTTTTGTTTTGGTCCGCTTCATGTGATGTGGTTAGTATTCCTAGTGTGCGGGTGTGCGGGTGTGCGTACCAGGATGATGTCGGCGATGTCGTCGAGGAAGTACCGCTGCAGCGTGGCGTTGGCGGCCTCGAGGCTGAGCACGTAGTCGGCGCGGGCCCGCAGCGCGTGTGCGCGCGCCGCGCTGTGCCGCGAGCGACGCTGCAAACAATCCGCCCTCCATCATTACTATTAACTAACTAACTGCGAGAGTACATTGCGGTCGTACACTATAATGTCAACTTATAATTGAAATGCTAGTAGCTCTAGAATTTGTGCAAACGAACAGTTTTTAAGTTGAGCTTTTAATTCGACTGAATCATTTTCATAGAAGCCTTTTATTGAATGTATCTTTGAAGAGTACCGGCATAGCACGTGAGAGCGGCTCGGTCGCGAGTTGGGGGTACCTTGTCTAGTTCCTTGTCGAGCGCCTTGAGCTTCTTGTGTCGCGGCGGCGAGTGTGCGGCGAGAGCGGCGCGCGCGGCGTGTGCGGTGCGCAGCTTGTGTGCGGCGACGCGCCACTCGTGCGCCGCGGCCGTCTGCGCCTTGCCCGCGCCCCACGCCTCCGCCAGCGCCGCGCACACCTCCTCGTGCCGCTCAGACACTGCACCCAAATATATCATTATGCATCGTCTTCTACTATGTACCTAAACATATAAATAATATAAACTGCAGGCCGAAAGTTTAAGACCACCTTACTTAAAGTAGGAAAATGAAATAAAACTCCCATGAAATATTAAATTTTTAATTAACCTTTTTAATCTACACTTATTAATATTATAAAGCTAAAGAGTTTGTTTGTTTGGTTGAACGCGCTAATCTCAGGAACTACTGGTTCGATTTGCAAAATTCTTTCAATGTTAGATAGCACACTTATTGAGGAAGGCTATAGGCTTAACATAACATCTTAACATCGCAGGAAAATAATGATCAAGCGCGTAATATTTATGTAGAATTCAATCGTGAACAATTGTTAAGTACGTATTTCATTGGAAAAATTGGTACCCGCCTGTGGGATTCGAACACCGGTACATCGCCAGATAGAATACACCGGACGTCTTATCCTTTAGGCCACGACGACTTCAGCAGAATATGCAAACGTGCATTTCTTTTTTTATCTTATGAGATTTTATTACAATCGATATGTTGAATCGATATATTACAATGAAGTTGTATTAGTGCGGTCTTGAACTTTTGGCCGCCAGTGTAAATACAATACAATACAATCCACGTTACTTACTTACAGGTAAGCAGAACTAATATATAATATATATGGCAGGTAGGCTAGTTCCATTTTTTTTTTCCATTAATTTACTTATTTACACATTTCGATCTATTGCATGAAGCAACTATTTACACAAAATAATTACAACAGTTAAATACACATACCACCGAAATATCGGTTTTAATTTTTGGCCTGTTAATTGATTCGTCTCGCGTTACTGATAACAGCTTATGAGACATCTTAAAAATTGATATACCGAATCTTATTAAATTCACTGAAGTTTACTTACAACCGAGTACAACTCGCATACACTTCAAGTGCAATTATTTCACTGAATTTCATATTTAATTAGTTGACCCGGCAGACTCGGTAGTGCCTCAATCGATAGATAAAAGACCTCAACTTTTGTAAAGGAATCCGTCCGACGGGGGACATACCATTGTTATTTTTATTTAATTTCGAGCATCTTCTTATTTATCTACCTTTTAAACTTCCTCTGGACTTCTACAAATAATTCGAGACCAAAATTAGCCAAATCGGTCCAGCGGTTCTCGAGATTTAGCGAGACTAACGAACAGCAATTCATTTTTATATATATATATAGATAGATAGATATTGATTTGAGTTGAAACACAAAGGACTGACCGATGTCCCGGCACTTCCTGTGCAGGCGGAGCGCGTCGTCGGCGGCCCGCTGCAGGCGCGCGGCCAGCGGGCCCCCGTACAGGTCGGCGAGCGCGGCGTGGTCCCGGGACAGCGAGCGCGTCGCGTCCAGCGCCGTCTGCCAGCACGAGAACGCGCCCGTGATCGCCCATTGCTCGCGTCTGTAACGCAACCGGGGACACCGCGCCTTTACGAGCTTCTCTACAGTGAATCTCATTCAATTATTATTAACGAGGGAAACAGACCACGCGGACTCGTATCAAGATGGTATAATTTTTCTAATGAAATATGTACTCAACAAATGTTCACGATTGACTTCCACGGTGAAGGAATAACATCGTGTAATAAAAATCAAACCCGCAAAATTATAATTTGCGTAATTACTGGTGGTAGGACCTCTTGTGAGTCCGCGCGGATAGGTACCACCGCCCTGCTTATTTCTGCCGTGAAGCAGTAATGCGTTTCGGTTG